ATGGCTTATTGGCCACAGCTTGGCAGTCTCTGCAGTACTCACTCGGTAGTATCCATACATTTTCTTTTTCGTTTGAAGAATTTTAGGAAGTAATCAAGAACAACATGAATCTTTTTGAACAAGATTCCCACAGACGGCGCCAGTGTTGAGTTTAATCCAACACGATATAATAAATATATGTATAGATGTGTATGAACAAGCTCAGTTTTTACGTGGAAACCCGGAAGGGGGAAAACCACGGGACTTTTTAGGCCAATGTCCAAGCCCTCTCTTTCTCATTAGGACTCTCCTCACCATTACGTAGTACATTTTGAGCTCCCATTAATGGAGTCTTACAAGCTAGCTAATCTATTCTAGAGAGAAGGAGGAGAAGTGGGGAACAAGAGACCAACCCCTAACATGGAGGGAAAGCCTTCTATTTATAGGGAAAAAAGGGGTAGGGAATAAGTTTACCCTAATGGGCCAAGTAAGCTCAAAATGGGCCCAAAGGGCCGAAACATGCCTAATGGGCCGAAACATGCCTAATGGGCTGAAATGGACCGTGTCATTCGGGCTCCATGTTGGGGCAATGCCTTGGGCTCGTGAACAGAAACGGACCGGGATAATATACCTCAACACCCTTTTTATCCGTCCACCACCTACCATACAGTGCCCATTCTTGAATCTTCCCGCTATCATCTGTCTTTTTGTCTTCCATTGCACCCACTGCCTGCAACCTTCCTCCCAATCACCTCCATCTTCACCCTTCCTTCTATTCACCTCCATCGTCGCCCCTTTCTTCTACTAATTAACCTTCATCAGTGCCCCTACATTGTCATTCTCATCGGCAATGGACCGAAAACCATCACCCCCTAAAAACTCTAAGCGGATCAACCTTCCCATGTCGCCACATCCTACAAATCTTGAAGCTTCACTTGCAGTTATTAAGTCATTTGTAAATGCAGAAGTTGAAGTTTCATATGTGAATTAGGGTTGCACATCGGGTGGGTTGGTTCAGGTTTGCTATATTTTTTGGGCCTACCCGATTTGTTTAAATGTTTAATTATAATTCTAATATTATAAAGTTTGATAAATGTTTAATTATAATTCTAATATCATAAAGTCCTAGATAGAGCACATTGGTCTTAAATTGAAATTATCCAAGAAAACGTTGTAGCACAACAATAGTAAAATGAACTTCAGCCGGGTCGGGTACTATCGGGTTTGAGATTTTAATTCCGCAACCCTACCCATTAGGTGCGGGTTCAAACATATTTAACCCATGAATATTTTTAAAAATAAAATACCCGATTAAATAGGGTCGGGTAGGGTTGGGTCGGGCGGGTTATGCGGGTTCGGGTTATTCTTGTGCAGCCCTAATGCGAATCGAAACCAGAACTCACTTCTCTTTAGAGTATTTATAGTTCATTTTGGCTATTTAAGTTCTTGTGAAACGGGTCCGAAGTGGCGGTTGCGCAACAAATATAGATCCGACTTGGTCTCAGATACACACGATGGACTGGACGGGCTGAATTCTGAAGAGGGTGATGAAGTTACTTAGGCATCAGTGGTTTCGATTTGCATGAGAGGAAGATTGTGGCGACAACGGTGTTGAAGATGACTGGAAGGAAAATGTTCCTTTAATGACAATAATTTTCTGAAACCTTACTCCTTATGTGTTTATTGTTATATGGACTTGTGATGATTAAGGGGTTGTTGTCCCATCTAGAAACTCCTTATGTGTGTGTTTGAGAGATCTATTGAGCATGCATTTTCACTTTTGGTGATCACAGTCCTCTTATATAATATAGTGTGTAATTGTGATGAATGATTTGTCATGTTATCGATAATGTTATCTCTTCACTTACTAGCATATTTGAGCAATTTTAAAAATATGAGAGTACATTTGGATTCTTGTATGATTTGAGTAAGTTGAAGGGGCTTAGCGACTATCTATTGATGCGTTGTTGTGACACACTTGAGAATTTTTTGAAGCATGGAGATGAGAGTGATATTGATGCAGTGGACTTGCTCTCGGAACTAGAGTTGCTTAAAAAATCATTGCTAGAAGCCACGAAAAAACGACTGAAGTGTTGGGGTACAATATATAAATTAAAACATATGAATTTTTTTTCCCAAATGCTTGGATTGCTTACAATTTTTTGTTGGCAATACCTGTGACAGTGGCCACTACAGAGAGAATCTTTTCAAAGTTGAAGTTGATAAAGAATTATATACGATCAACCATGTCAAATGATAGATTAAGTGGATTAGCTATATTATTTATTGGAAAAAAAGTGTTAGCTAGTCTTGATTGTAGTGACGTCCTTACTTATTTTGCATTTCAAAAGCAAGGAGGATTGGGTATTAAAAAATACACTTTTTAGTGCATTTTATGTATGTTACATTTAAAACTTTATTGTTTTGAAGTTCACAATATATGATGTTTTTGCATTTATTTTATCTTATTTGTCATGATTGTCTTTTATGCAAATTTCATTGATATGATATTATTATATATGTCTATTGAAGCTTTTGTGAAGCTTTTTCTGCATGGGGCCTCCAAACCGCTTGAGCCGGCCTTGTCTACATAAGCCACTACTTCAACAATTTTGCATCCTAATGATAGCAAAGGCAGCGGTTGTTCCCTCTTTAATGTAGGGTTTGTTACTCTGCAAATATTCGCGCGGCTTTTACTTTTCTTAATTTTGATTTCATTTCTGGATTTGGTTTGGTCTTGGGCGAGACATGTTTCGTATAACAACTTAGGATTTGACTTTACTTCAGGTGTGCTCCAGGAACTTGTCGATCACTACAATAGCTTTGAGACGACACACACAAAGTGGTCGGCGTTGATTTGGGCTTTACTTCTCCGCAGAGTGAGTAGAAGGTTGATCGTGTGCTTCGGCGCTCAAGCAGCAAAGTGATGGAGGGTGACGTAGCAGGGGAGAAGCTGGGTACGATTGACAACCATATTAGGAGGCGGCATGGGCAACGAACAGACGAGGAGAGGTGAAGGGCTGAATAAGGGGGAAGATAGATCGACGCTCCGCCTTTCTCCTGAACCGCCGCCTTGGAGCGATCGAGGTGTCAGAGTTTGGAAGATGGTATTTCAAGAAAACTGGCATGAAAGAAATTGGAGCTTTCATCGGTTATTTTATGGAATTTTTCTTATGGTCTTATTTTCGCGTTATGCTTGTTTATGTTGCTCTGTTTTTTGTTGATGTCTTTAGTTGTAGGTCTGCAATAATGATTGACAATTGTGCTAGCTATTATATCGTTATAATGATCTATATGACCAGTGATTACTGTGTCACACCCGTTTGGTGGTTAGTGATTCATATTACTCTTTCCGAGGCGATATTTTATATGTCTAGCCATATGATTGATAGTGATGGTTGATTATAGATAGTTGTTGTCAGTGTAATTCTCTTTGAGTTTAATGTAACGATTCGAATCCTAATGATATTAATATAAGCGAGTTTTCTTTCTAAAAAATGATAGCAAAGGCGAACTTGTGGATGAAATGAGTATTATACTTCATCCATCTAATTTTGCTGGCCTTGTAATTCTTTTTAAGACCACCCAACAGCATTTTTCACATACCAAATTTGGTCCTATACGGCTATAATAGGGAAAGTTCCCGAAATGGGACTAAAAAAGTTCGAAAATTCCAAAATAGGACTGTCATGTTTTTATTCCCAAAATAGGACCAATTACTGCCAAATTTGGAAAATACTGCCATGTTTGAAGTCTGGTACTGCCAAAACATGACAGTAATTAGTCCTATTTTGGGAATAAAAACATGGAAGTCTTATTTTGGAATTTTCAAACTTTTTTAGTCCCATTTTGGGTAATATCTCGCTATAATATCATATTCTCAATATTTATGTCAAGCTTTATGTCTCAAATATATTTATGTCAAACTTCATGTCTCAAATATAGTAAGACGAATGTAGTATATAAAATTTAAAATCTCTATTATCTTTTGTCTTAATTTTTGTAACCCGTACTCCAAGAAACAAAAGCGAACATAGTTAGGTATTAGTGGACTGATGACAAATATATGAGTCAAAGTATGTTAAAAATGACTCAAAAGAGATCAAATTCTCCTTTCACACAATTCTCTCCAATAGTCCAACATCATACTCTCATCTAGGCTTGGCCCGGGGCCAGTCCGACCAACCCGGGAACCGGACCGGCCCGCCACTGTGCGGGACCGGCCCAGCCCGGTGACCCGGTTCCGATACCGGGCCTAGGCCCAACCCGGGGGGGGGGGGGGGTATGGGGGCAGTTCCAGGGTTGGATAATTGGGGACCAGCCCGGCCGGTCCGGGTATTTTTAATTTTGTTTTTTGTTTTTGGGGTTTGGGCCTATGGTAGGTGGGCTGGGTGGGTGTTTTGGCAGGGTTTGGGGGTGGGGGGTTGGAATAACCTAAGAAAACCTATAAAAATATATATATAAGAACCGGTCCGGCCTGGAACCGATAGACTCCCGGGCCGGTCCCGAGCCTTACTAAAAAATTTCCAAGCCTGCCCAGGCCCGACCCGGAACCGGACCAGGCCCGGTCCATCCCTACTCTCATCCCACTCAAATGTATCATATAATTCCTCACTACTCTGATCTATATTTGTTGGATCGTCCTCGATCTCCCTCCCCTCTCTGTCTCTACTTCTCAGTTCTCACCTCTGAATCCATGTAACATGTGCAGTACAATATCATCATGCCTTTGCAGCGTTGTACATTTAGGGGGTGTTTGGATCTGATTCTTAAAACTGATTCTGCTCTCTGAAGGAGCAGAAGCAAAAGATGGAGTGTTTGGGTGAAAGTGCAGAAGTGATTCTGGTGCTGTAATTTACTCCTAGAATAAGTTTTTTTAGAAGCTGAGGGTGACTAGCTTCTGAAAACTGATTCTGATTCTACTTTTGCTTAAAAAAAGAAGCAGAAGCAGAATTAGTTCCAAACACCCCTAATGTTGTACATATCATTTTAAACAAAAAGGAGAACTAAACAAGTGGGTGAACTTGAAATGATTGACCGTTGTGTTTTAATTCCAATCAGAAGTTTTGGCTCCGCTGATGCCATCAGCACGTCTGATAATGGGCAGAGCAAAACAATTGGGATTAAAATTTGAAGATCCTATTTTTATTCAAATTTGGGAGTAGCAACGCCTTTTTGCTGCATTTATTACTAGTCGTAGTCTCTCATCCTAAAGGAGCCAGTGGCAATTTACAGATATAATGAACATTTTCATAATGAAAAGTCACTAATTTAGGAAGTATTTTATTCATAGAAAAGCATGCTACATATACATATATGCTGCTAATCATGGAGTATTTATGCTTAACCCTAATCAACTGGAACTGGTTGCATTGCTTCAGCCTCTTTCCTGAGATTTTCATAAAGGATTGACGACAAGTATCGCTCACCAAAGCTTGGATGCACTGTCTGAAATCCAAATGAAGGCTCAGAAAATTCAAGTGTTGGGCGGGGATTATAATGTTGCAATTTTATTTTTTCATACCACGATAAGCTTTCCTTTGTTTTCGGGTCTGCTAGCTAGGCTAAGTGCAGCTACTGTATTAGCCCCAGATGATATCCCAACCTAGCCATACATGATTGAAAGAATCACACATAAACAATGCAAGAACTAGCCACCGACTTGTTGGTTTAATGATTATACAGAGCCAGCTCTATTTTAGTTAGTACTCCGTATTTAATTTGAGAGAAGTTACCATAAGGCCTTCCTTAAGTGCCAACTCTCTGGCCATGCTAACTGATTCTTCACTTGAAACCTGCACCATATAAAATCTACTGTTGTTTATATAGAGCACACGATCTTGAGTAACACCAACTATAAATCAATTATGATTTCATCATTATTAAAAAAGATTCCATCATTTAAGAGTTCAAACCATTTTAGTACCCCCAAAAAACCCATATACAAAAGGAAAAAAAAGAGCATTCAGTTACGTACCATCAGAACTTCTTCCATGACATCCATGTCCAGGATGTCTGGCTTGAAACCGACCCCATTTCCAGTTATATGATGAGGACCTTCAACACACAATCACATTTTTTAATAAGAGGAGTATCAAACCATATATATCTAATATCATATTAAGCCCAATTAATAAGAGGAGTTGCTCATGATCTTATTATCGATTTAATCATTCAGAAATTGCTCTAAACAAGGGTATCATGTCCCCCCTAAATAGGAGTAATTATTACGTAGTATAAAATATGCAAAATAGTGTCAATTTTGGCATTAATACTACCATATTAATGTTTGTTAATGCTAACATATGATAGATAGTAGGATTTTAGAACAATGATTGGACATATTTGGAATTTCAAGTTGTTTTTAATAAAAAATAACTACTGAACTTATTTTACTCCAAAACAATGATATAAAGGTTAGCTAATATATATCACCTGGTTTGCCACCATTCAGTACATTGCTTTCAGCTGGCTCCATTCCATATATCTGTTTTTTTCAAAAGCAATAGATTGATAAATATATAGATGTGAGAGCATCTATCCAGCTGAACTGATGAAAGGAATGTGATTGGAAGAAGCAAGATACAAGCACCTTAACATTGGGGTTTTGGGATTTGAGGTATTGTCCAACGCCAGAGACAGTTCCACCACTTCCAATTCCCATAACAAAAATGTCCACATTACCCTGTGTGTCCTCCCATATTTCAGGACCCGTTGTGTCAAAATGTATCTGGGATTCCAGCAGCAATCCATCCATTTAAACATCAATTACCTTTCTTTTCTTTTACTATCGATGAATCAAAAGGGAGCAATAAAATACATACTTGAGTATTTGCAGGATTGGAGAACTGCTGAAGCATAAAAGCATTTGGTGTCGATTCCAGAAGCTGGTAAGCTTTCCTCACTGTTCCACCCATACCCTTGGTTGGGTCTGTAACTATTAAATCAGCTCCAAATGCTTTCATTGTCACCCTCCTCTCAATGCTGGTATATGAGGGCATTGTCAAAACCATCTTGTACCCTTTCATTGCAGCCATGAATGCCATACTGATACCCATATTTCCAGATGTCGGTTCTATTAATGTTGTCTACAAGTTCCATCCCCCAAAAAGCATTATTAATATTTATAATAAAAAGTTAATTGAAAAGTTGATCAACTTAGTTATTTGCCACTGTGATTGTAATGAGGAATTTCTTGAATCCAGAATGATACGCTAGAGCCTATTAATAAAGGATATGGAAGATAAAACCTGTCCATCCAAATCACTAAAGAATATCCATGTAAGACTTAAAACTTCATGATTTTTTACTTTTATATAATTCTCAATGCTATTCAATTTGTCAAGAGTTATAAATTTTAGTGAAGAAAAATTAATCGAAAATTAGCACAGAAGTAAATAAAAAATCAAAGAAATCATAATCCATGATAGCATTGAGAATTATAAAAAGTCAAAAATCATGAAGTATATGTCCAACTCGTGATGCCTCATACTAATACAGTTACAAAAACACTTAACCTCGATTGTATACCGATTTATATTCACCCACTTAAGTAGGCAAGTTATTCTAGAAGAGTTGTAATAGTGTTACCTTCCCAGGTGAGATCAGACCTTTCTTTTCTGCGTCTTCAATCATTGCCATTGCAGGCCTGGTAGCAAAACAAATTAGAATGTGAAGACATAATGGGCTATCCATGTTAATTAATTGAAAATGAACTCAAATAATACATACCGATCCTTGATGCTGGATGTAGGCTGCATCATCTCTTGTTTTACAGCTATATATGCACCGCACCCTTGTGTAACTTTATTGAGGTAAACCAGAGGCGTCCTCCCAATCAACTGAAACACACATATGGCATTCATCCATTCATTCATCACTTGTATCTTATTATATGTACACTTTTTTGGCCGGGTAAGTAATATATCAGAAACCAAAAAGAAAACATGTAATGGAGTTTCATATGGCAGTTGCAGGTAGGTACCTGAGAGACTTCCCGCTTGATGTTAGTGGCAGGGAAATCCTTGGGTAGAGCCCTTAACATCTGAGCAAACGAGTGGTCCGGGCCAGCGGTGAGCAATCTAGTGAAGATCATCAGACCATAGCCGACGCCGGGTTGGATGGATGCATATGCACTTCCTCTCCTGCTCAAGTTCACCGCAGCAGCCATTGAATTGAATGAAGAAGATCAAAACAACTCCAGGCCGACTGCGAACTCGCGCCAGTAAACAATAATTCAATCAAATCATGATGCGTGCGCCATTAGCTAGGAATTGAAGGTTATTTTCTTTTCCGGACCATCCATTCCTGTATGTATGTATGTATATTTCTATTTTATTTTTGAGACTGACAGCTGCAACTAGTGGCGGACCAGCCATGGCCTAGTGGATACCACACCTCAATCTATTCAGCTAACTTCTGAATCTAGTCACTTCTCTATAAACGGTACCCAGTACCAACGTCAGCCTACACCCCCACCCTCAGCTCCCTCCATCCACATCCGTTCTTGCTTAGGGAGTGTTTGCAATAGTTTAAAAAAAAAGCACTTCTCAGTTTTTGGCTTAAAAAAGTACTTATTTACCAAACACTTCCAATTTTTACTTTTTCTCGTCTTGCGTGTGAAAAGTGCTTTTCCCTTTTCTATTACACAAGAAGCACTTATTTTACCAAACACTAAGGGTTTGTTTGCAATCAATTAAAAAAAGTGATTTTGGCTTTTTTTCAAGAAAAAAGCACTTATTTTCCCAAACACTATCAACTTTTACTTCCTCGGTTTTCGTGTAGAATCTACTTTTTACTTTTTCTATTACACAAAAAGCACTTATTTTACCAAACACTACCAACTTTTACTACTAATCACTTTTTCCCAAAAAGTGCTTTTATTTAAGCACAAGTGATTGCAAACAGAGCCTAACAACTTTTACTTTTCAAAATCACTTTTTTCTCAAACACTATCAACTTTTACTACTAATCACTTTTTCATTACATCTCCAAAAGTGCTTTTTTTTAAACAGAAGCAGTTGCAAACACTCCCTTAACCTTTCTCAAACCAATTAAGACAAAGGAAAGTTCCCAAAATGAAAGTAATTACTCTTATTTTGGTAATAAAAAACATGTCAGTCCTATTTTGAAATTTTCAAACTGATTTAGTCCTATTTCGGGAACTTTCCCGTAAAGAAAAGGGTCAATTAAGTTTTTTTAACTGTTTTTAATCCATCATTTAATTCTTATATTACATACTAAAAAAAAGTATTAAATGCGTTTACTCTAAAAAGATCAAGACCGGTCAATTTGACCATTTATTCGGTTTTTGATATCTGGACAATAATTGGATGGAAAAATCCCGCCCAAATTAGGGGTTCGTATATCCTATACCCGAGTGTACAGGTACACCCGTTTTTTTTGTAATATTTTGCAAAGTCACGCCCCAATTAATACTCCGCTAGCATTGTAAATCTTTCAGCTCATTTTAATCGTCATGTCTAAATTTTCTGCTGTCAGGTGTTCTTACTGGCGCCTCTCATCGAACACCTTCTGGATACAGACCAGCTCCTGCTTTCCGCTGACTTGTGCTCAGTGGCGGAACTGTTTTGTTCCAAAGTATTCACAAGAACACCCAAAATATTTAAGAACAAAGTAGTATACATGTGTAAATTTAGTGTAATTGTACTTATTCTTCTTTAAATCTTTATTTGTACAAAATTGAACACTTGAAATCTAAATTCGAGATCCGCCACTGCTTGTGCTCTCGTCGATCTTGAGTTGAGGGCATATTTTCTATTTCCGTTTTCTTTCTTGTTCTTTAACCTTCTTTTGCTTTGTTTTTTTTAAGTGCAAATATAGAATACTCCGGATTATTTAATGTCCAAGACTCCATGCTTATTTTATTTATTTTCTTATTCCAATCAACTTTTATAACTTCACTTTCTAATTTGTGCATTATAAAACTCTCAAAAAAAATTGCATTATAAAACATTTTAGGTATTAATATTTTACTTTATTAAATATTGTGTATTAATTATTTTAATAATGTGTGTTTATTACTAACATGACTTCTGTGTTATACCTAAATGAGTATAATATTTAAAAGGAATGAGCATACACAACTGAATATTTAAACACATTAGAGATTTTTAAATGAGCCTTTGAAGTGTTCGATACTCATTTTGTACGTTACTTATGCTCATCGGGTATTGTTTTTGTGTTCATTTTAAAATGTCATATCAATGCATATTTCAAAACTATAATATTACATAAGATTTGCATGAAAGTTGATTATAAACTCGAGAGCAAAGATAATGATACCCAATTGCATGTTTCTAATACCCAATAGAGGGGGGTTGATGTTCAATGAAAATATCTTGAAGCTCAACTAACATAGCTTATGATTTCCATATCATTGCTCATTTGGTAAGTGAGTATGCTCATTTTGTACTGGTGTTATGCTCAATTTAAAATGTTATATCAATGCATATTTCAAAATAATTAGACTCCTAATACTCAACATAATAGGTCTGATCCTCATTAAAATGTTATCAATGCTCATTCACCAGAAACCGTGATATGAGAATTTAATGCAATATGACACTTTTTAAATATGCATTGATATGACATTTTACATATAATCATAAAATCGGTACCAAATGAGCATATGTAACTTACACAATGTGCATTGATATGAAAACTGTAAAGTTTGTTAGTTGAACATCACGACATTTTTATTGAGCATCAAACATCCTCTATTAAGATGGAATTCATGATTTCTATTAAATGAGCATTAATGAATATTTACTGAGCATCAGACCAATTCTGTTGAGTATTAGGAGTCTGATATTGAGCATCGAGATCTCTACTTCATATCTTATATTCACTTTCATTTTCTTATTTCTTTCTTTATAAAAAAATATGAAATTATATCTATAATCAACTTCTATGAAACTTCAATATGTGAATCTAATGTAATATGGTACTTTTGAAGTATGCATTGATATGACATTTTAAAAAAGAACATAAATGAGTATAAATTGGGTATATGTAACTTACAAAACGAGCATTAATATGAAAATCATAATATGATACTTTTGAAATATACATTGATATGACATTTTACAAATGAGCATAAATGAGTATAAATTGAGCATATGTTACTTACAAATGAGCATTGATAAGTTTTTTAATTGAGCATCAAGACGTTTTCATTGAACATCAAAACTCTTCTATCGAATATGAGAAACATTCAATAGAGTATCAAGGTATGTTCTCAATCTAGTATCTATAATCAACTCCTACGTAAATCTTATTTAATACGATATTTTTGTAGTATGCATTGATATAACATTTTAAAATGAGCATAGATCCATTACCAAATGAGCAATAATATGAAAATCACAAGCTTTGTTAGTTGAGAATCAAGACATTTTCATTGAACATCAAATCTCTTCTATTGAGTATCCGAAGCATGCAATTTAGTATCATGATCTATGACCCCATGTGAATTTAATATGAAACTTTTGAAATTTGCATTAACATGACATTTTAAAATGAGCATAAAACCAATACCAGATGAACGTACGTAACTTACAAAATGAGCATAAAAAAATTCAAAAGCTCGTTAGAATTCTCTAATGTGTTTAAATGTCCATTTTTGCACATGTATCATAATGACAAACACAATAATGACAAACACAATAATTTTATATTAGAAATAATATAGTCTTTCTTTCTGGAATTACAAATATAATAGGGTTCTTTTTATAATGTTTACCCATGATATTTATTTTACAATATACGCATTTTAGCATGTAACGCCCCTCTCAGGGTAAAAGGAATCATTACTCTAGCATACTACTTTTAAAAAAATAACTGCAATATAACGGCCGTTTGTTTACGAAATAACCCTGATAAAATCTCAAATATACCTAAGATATAACTCCAAATAAAACTCATTAAAATTCTAGTTATCACTAGCAAATGTGACAACCACCTGGATCCAGGAATTTATTCAACTTCAAACCATAAATAAAAAAAAAAGTAATAATAATAAACTCCTTAGAACAATATCTAAAATAATGAGGCATAATAATAGCTAGCTGGAAGCCGCCAAGGTCGTCCCCGTCAACTCATCTTGGCACGCGTTCCACTCTCTCATCACCTTCCTAGGCCTTGGCCTTACCTTTAGTATCTGTACATGCGAAGAAAGAAACTGATAAGCTTTACGCTTAGTAAGTCACTATGGATCCACAAAAATATCTAGAAGTCTATGCCAATTTATCAATAGATAAAATTTAGGCTATAAGCATGCACTGAACAAACAACTAACACATAACTTCTCAATTACATTTTGAGAGAGATCTCAAAGGAAAAATATTTTCCTAAAATATTTTTCTCAAAACTGCTAGAGATCTCAAAATTTATTTTTCTGAAAACATCTCTGTAAAACTCTCTGAAAGAGATCTCAAAAACTTTCTGTAAATCTTTCTGAAAGAGATCTCATTAAACTTGATGTAAACTCTTTGTGGCTAATTTTAACTGTGGGCCCGTGATATGTACTCAAAGGCGCCAATCCGACAGCTCAGGGGAGCGACCCACTAAACATATCGGACTCTGAAACTGATAAGCTGATAACTGATAACTGAGGGAACTTGTTCCCGAGTACATATCACTTAATCTTTCACTTTAAGTATTAGTTCTTTTTATGGTGACGTTTGACTAAACATCATTAAATCTGGAAACGAAGGTACTAACAAATCTTGACTATGCCAGATAATAAACATAACTTAATCTAGCAATAAAATAACTCATCACATAATTCACATAGTTCACATAATAGCAAATAGTCTAAAATTATCTATTAAAAATCAACCAGACTTCTTGCATTTGGTTGAACAAACATGTACAGGTGGTAGTGAACTTACCTGTCAACGGCTGAACTCAAATTACTCAAATAAGTGTGGGACCTTGATAACGTCTTTCGGTAAGCTCTTCTCTTAAATCTTTAATTAAATGTAAAAAATTCAATAAGAATATTACTTTCCCAACAAAGCAAACCCTCTTGATAAAATATACTACTGCTGCACTCTAAAACAAAAAAAAAAATGGGGATGACTTTTGCTAACCCAATCATGTACGAAGCAGTGTACATGAGTTCCAGATTGGATATAAAATGCAGTTTTACAAATTAAAGATCTGTAAACACACCTACCCCAGTTTAGGTATTAATTTCGTAAATGAAGAAGCAAATTTCTGCTTAGTAAAAACCCAAATCAGCAAAATACAACTATGAGTTTGTTCTACTGCATAGTTTAATTTGAATTTATGAAAATTTCCCAATGATAGCTGCATATCCGGTAACCCATTGAACTACCCCAAGCTCAACTTTAAAGCCATAGTTTTCCAAACAAAATACGTCTTCAAACTATATATAAATTCCTTTTTTTTTAAGAACAGCAGCAGTCACTTTGATTTGAGATTAGTTTGAAATAGATCCATTGTTTAATAAAATCTATGTGAGGCATGGAAAACAAATAAATTTGCTATGCCCAGGAGTGATTGAATAAAAGATCGATGAAAACATTCTTCCGAATATCAAGACTTATAAAATTAACTAAGGAAAAAAAAAAAAAAATTGCAGAATAAACTTACAAGTTTGAGGACTTTGATTCAAGGCACAATTGAGAAAGAAGAAAGCTTATGCGCAGGGGCGGAATACGTAGCGCTAGAGTCAGGTTTTGTTTATTTTTATTAAAGCTGCTATGTATATACGCATACATATATACGAAGTATCTTTCTAGGGATTTAGTATAGAGGAAATTTATTTGGGCTTTGACATAATTGATTCGGGCCTTTTATTATCTCTAAAAATAATTGTTTCTGCCCGAACTAAAGCAATAAAGGTCTCCCTTTAACGAAAATAATAAACTGAATTACTTTCGAACACATAACTATTTATATATTTAATTATTCGAGCTTACCGATCAACGTTATCTGCAACCAAAACAATGATCTCACAATAAAACACATTATTCATACAAGAACTTTATTTATCTGACTACATAAAATAAAAGATTAAAGTAACTAGATCGCTAAAATCGGGGTGTTACAACCCCTCCCACCTTATAAAAGTTTCGTCCTCGAAACTTAGAACAAATCAGGATAACGCCGCCTCATGTCATCCTCAACCTCCCAAGTAGCTTCTTCAACTTTGTCATTTCGCCACAACACTTTTACTAGAGCTATCTCTTTATTCCGGAGACGTCTAACCTCTCGGTCAAGAATTTGTACTGGCTTCTCCTCGTAAGACAAATCATTTTGCACTTCTATTGTTGGGGGTATCAAAACATGCTCCGGATCAGCAAAGTATTTCCTCAACATCGAAACATGGAAGACATTATGAATGCCAGAAAACTCTTCAGGTAGCGCGAGCTCATAAGCTACCTTCCCCACTCGTCGAGTGATCTCATATGGTCCGGTGAATCTTGGGCTAAGCTTTCCTTTCTTTCCAAACCGCATCACACCCTTCATCGGGGTTATCTTAACGAAAACAAAATCCCCCACTTCGAACTCTAGAGGCCTTCTCCGAACATCGGCATAACTTTTCTGTCTGCACTGGGCGGATTCTATCCTTTGCCGGATAGTTTTAATAGCTTCTGAGGTCTCATCTATCAACTCAGTTCTCCCTTGCAGTTCCTCTTCTAGGATCTTCTTCTCCCCTGTTTCATACCATGATATGGGAGATCTACACCTTCTCCCATACAACGCCTCATACGGAGCCATGCCAATGGTTGCTTGATAACTATTATTATAAGCAAACTCCGCTAAACTTAGGTATTTCACCCATCCTCCTTGAAAATCTAGTGCACATGCCCGTAGCATATCCTCTAAAGTCTGGTTTGTCCTCTCTGTCTGACCATCGGTCTGAGGATGAAAAGCGGTACTAAACTTCAACTTCGTGCCCAATGATTGTTGTACGCACTTCCAAAAGTGAGAGGTAAATCTGGAATCTCTGTCAGAAATAATACTCTTCGGGACACCATGCAGTCTCACAATCTCCTGAATATATAACTTTGCCAACTTCTCCAAAGATATACTTGCTGAAATTGGGATAAAATGAGCAGATTTAGTCAATCTGTCCACTATAACCCATATAGCGTCATAACCTCCCGTTGTCTTCGGCAAACCCATAATAAAGTCCATGGATATCTCATCCCATTTCCACTCTGGAACCCGGATAGGCTGAAGTTCTCCACCTGGTCTTTGATGTTCAGCCTTTACTTGCTGACACGTCAAACATGACTGGACGAACTTCGCAACATCTTTCTTCATTCCTGACCACCAAAAGTTTTTCTTCAAGTCATGGTACATCTTGGTCGCACCAGGATGCATAGTGAATGGTGTGTCATGAGCCTCCTTCATAATCTGCTTCCTCAACCCCTCGACATCAGGAATGCACAACCTGTTTCGAAGTAATAATCTCCCACTCTCATCCAAACGGAATTCGGGACATTGTCCCTCCTTGACGCACTCCTTCAACTTCACTAACTCGGGATCAAGTTCTTGCTTCATAGCTATGTCCTCAAATATTGATGGAGTCACTGTCATAGCCGCTAGTCGCCCACTTACAACCTCTAATTCAAAATCTTCAATTTCCTTCTTCAACTTTGGATCTATTACCATCATAGCCATTAGTGTTGCAGAAGACTTCCTACTAAGTGCATCTGCTACCTTGTTGGCCTTCCCTGGATGATAAAGGATCTCACAATCGTAGTCTTTGATTAACTCAAGCCACCTTCTTTGCCTCATGTTGAGGTCCTTCTGCGTGAATATATATTTCAGACTTTTATGATCGGTGAAGATCTTGCACTGGACCCCATACAAGTAATGTCTCCAAATCTTCAAGGCGTGAATCACTGCTGCTAACTCCAAGTCATGGGTAGGATAATTCGTCTCATACTCCTTGAGTTGCCGAGATGCATACGCAATGACTCGTTCATTCTGCATAAGAACTGCTCCAAGTCCCATCTTCGATGCGTCTGTGTAGATAACAAACCCTTCCTTGCCTTCTGGGAGTGTTAAAACAGGTGCAGAGGTCAACCTATTTTTCAGCTCTTGGAAACTCTTCTCACAACGATCAGTCCACTCAAATTTCTTACCCTTACGAGTCAAGGTAGTCAATGGAAGAGCTATAGCAGAGAAGCCTTCCACAAACTTCCTATAATACCCTGCAAGGCCTAAGAAACTTCGAACTTCTTTCGCATTCTTTGGCCTGCTCCAATCACGAACAGCCGCTACCTTTGAGGGATCCACCGAAACTCCGTGCTTTGAAACTACGTGGCCAAGGAATGCTACTTGGTCAAGCCAGAACTCACACTTTGAAAACTTAGCATATAGCTTATGTTTTCTCAGTGTCTCCAGTACCTCTCTCAAGTGTTCTTCATGCTCCTCCTTAGACCTTGAGTAGATCAAAATATCATCAATGAAAACAATGACAAACTTGTCAAGAAACTCCCTGAACACTCTATTCATCAGATCCATAAACGCTGCTGGAGCATTAGTTAGGCCGAAAGGCATAACCACAAATTCATAGTGTCCATACCGCGACCTAAAAGCTGTTTTTGGGGTGTCTCCTTCTTTGATTCTTAGCTGATGATACCCTGAACGAAGGTCAATCTTGGAGAAAATCACTGCTCCCTTCAACTGGTCAAACAGGTCATCAATTCTAGGCAGAGGATACCTATTCTTGATAGTCACTTTATTGAGTTCTCTGTAATCTATGCACAATCTCATTGTGCCATCCTTCTTCTTCACGAATAATACCGGAGCTCCCCACGGTGAGTAACTGGGCCGAATGAAACCTTTCTCTAGCAACTCCTGCAACTGCTTATGGAGTTCTTGTAACTCTGCTGGGGCCATTCGATACGGTGCTCTGGAAATCGGTGCGGTACCGGGCAGCAACTCAATCTCGAACTCAATCTCTCTACTGGGTGGTAATCCTGAAAGATCTTCGGGGAATACATCACTGTAACCTTCCACAACGGGAACTTCAGAAAGCTGCATAGGTTCCCCTGAGTTTTTGTCTACTACGTGAGCTAAGAAAGCTTCACATCCACCTCGAATCAGTCTCCTTGCTTGCAATGTTGAAATCATCACCTTCCCTGATCTTTTTGGTTCCCCAAGAAATAAGAAAGGATCAGACCCTGCAGGCACGAAACTAACAATTCTCTTTCGGCATATAATTGAAGCGTTATACTTCTGCAGAAAATCCATGCCGAGAATCACATCATAATCCTTCATGTTGAGCACAATCAGATCTACAAATAACTCTCTTCCCGCAATACTCATTGGCACTGCTCGTAGCCAATGAGTTGACAACATGATCTCTCCCGACGGAAGTGCTGTGGTGAACTTATAATCTAACTTATCTTGACGTGTTGCTAAGGGTCTAGCAAACTCAAGAGATACAAAGGAATGTGTGGCTCCTGTGTCAAATAACACATTAGCATATCTGTTTAGAACAAGTATCTGACCTGTGACAACTCCGGGATTTATAGATGCCTCTTCCTTGGAGATGGTGAACACTCTAGCAACTGGGGCCTCTGGTGGTGCCTCAAGGCGTCCCTGCTGGATGGATGGTCCTTCTAGATAAGCCTGCATATTATGGACGACCGCTGAAGGTGCTGGATTCCTCGGCATCTGAGTGATCTGGTAGCCTTGCTGATTCTTTCTTGGACAGTCTCTGAACATATGGCCCTCAAGGCCACAAGTGAAGCAAGCTCTCGAACCCAATCTGCATTGGCCTGGATGATTACGGCCACAATTCGCACACTGCGGAAACTTCATCTGTTTATTTTGTCGCTCCTGATGATGTCCAGCTCCCTTGACGTTACTGCTCTTAAAACTTCTCTTCTTGTTATTCTTCGAGTTACTCGTGTATCCCTGTGGCTGATTCTGTGGCTGCAATGGCACAGGCTGCGACTGAGCGGGCACTGGATCGGTAGGGAGGTAGTACTCCTTTTGACTCGCTATAAGGACACAGTCAACTAATGTAGCCGGGGTCTGGTTACCGTTCTCCAAGTGAACTGCTATATCCTTCCTAAGGGCTTTCAGGAACAACTTCACCTTATCCCTCTCTGTCGGAGCAGCTGTAGGGCAAATACGTAGTAGTCTCTGAAATTGTGTCGCCAAGGTTGCTACATCCATGGTTCCCTGACGTAGATTCTGAAGCTCATCCTGGTACTTACGTGTGACACTAGCATTGAAATACTGGTTGGTGAACTCCTCTTTGAACTGCTCCCATGTCATCTGCGCAACGTTATACCTTGTTTCCACAGTCTCCCACCATATTCGAGCATCCATGGTGAGGCTATAAGACGCGCATCGAACCTTGTCATTATCTGCTAATTCCAAACCATTAGCAATGCCTTCAATGGTCTTCAGCCATCCCTGAGCAGCTAGAGGGTCGGGACCCCCTTCAAAATCCGCGGGCTTGATCTTCCTCCAAGTGATCATCAGAGGTTCTCGTCTTGGTGCTCCATTTCCCACGCCTTGATTATTACCAGCATTTCCTCCTTGAGCTCCGCCCCTTTGATTGTTCGCGGTCAAACGGTCGATGATCTGTTGCTGCTCCTGCAACTGCCTCTGAAGTTGCGCTACAATACCTATCAAATCTTGCTCGTGATTGTTTCCTTGCTCATTACTGTTCCCTTGTGCATTGCTACCACGGGTTCTCCTCATTTTCTCAAGGCACCTAAATATAAACTTTTTATTTATGTGCCATACACATTACTAAAAAGGAAAGACATTCATATCTTTGTTCTCTATCTAATAAACTCCTCTTGCTCATGTACAGAAATATAAAAACTAACTTTAAATACTTACTTGGAAGATGATGAGCACGTGTACGGTGACAAGTGAAGTTACGGGACAACCTGGGCTCTGATACCAAATTTGTAACGCCCCTCTCAGGGTAAAAGGAATCATTACTCTAGCATACTACTTTTAAAAAAATAACTGCAATATAACGGCCGTTTGTTTACGAAATAACCCTGATAAAATCTCAAATATACCTAAGATATAACTCCAAATAAAACTCATTAAAATTCTAGTTATCACTAGCAAATGTGACAACCACCTGGATCCAGGAATTTATTCAACTTCAAACCATAAATAAAAAAAAAAGTAATAATAATAAACTCCTTAGAACAATATCTAAAATAATGAGGCATAATAATAGCTAGCTGGAAGCCGCCAAGGTCGTCCCCGTCAACTCATCTTGGCACGCGTTCCACTCTCTCATCACCTTCCTAGGCCTTGGCCTTACCTTTAGTATCTGTACATGCGAAGAAAGAAACTGATAAGCTTTACGCTTAGTAAGTCACTATGGATCCACAAAAATATCTAGAAGTCTATGCCAATTTATCAATAGATAAAATTTAGGCTATAAGCATGCACTGAACAAACAACTAACACATAACTTCTCAATTACATTTTGAGAGAGATCTCAAAGGAAAAATATTTTCCTAAAATATTTTTCTCAAAACTGCTAGAGATCTCAAAATTTATTTTTCTGAAAACATCTCTGTAAAACTCTCTGAAAGAGATCTCAAAAACTTTCTGTAAATCTTTCTGAAAGAGATCTCATTAAACTTGATGTAAACTCTTTGTGGCTAATTTTAACTGTGGGCCCGTGATATGTACTCAAAGGCGCCAATCCGACAGCTCAGGGGAGCGACCCACTAAACATATCGGACTCTGAAACTGATAAGCTGATAACTGATAACTGAGGGAACTTGTTCCCGAGTACATATCACTTAATCTTTCACTTTAAGTATTAGTTCTTTTTATGGTGACGTTTGACTAAACATCATTAAATCTGGAAACGAAGGTACTAACAAATCTTGACTATGCCAGATAATAAACATAACTTAATCTAGCAATAAAATAACTCATCACATAATTCACATAGTTCACATAATAGCAAATAGTCTAAAATTATCTATTAAAAATCAACCAGACTTCTTGCATTTGGTTGAACAAACATGTACAGGTGGTAGTGAACTTACCTGTCAACGGCTGAACTCAAATTACTCAAATAAGTGTGGGACCTTGATAACGTCTTTCGGTAAGCTCTTCTCTTAAATCTTTAATTAAATGTAAAAAATTCAATAAGAATATTACTTTCCCAACAAAGCAAACCCTCTTGATAAAATATACTACTGCTGCACTCTAAAACAAAAAAAAAAAATGGGGATGACTTTTGCTAACCCAATCATGTACGAAGCAGTGTACATGAGTTCCAGATTGGATATAAAATGCAGTTTTACAAATTAAAGATCTGTAAACACACCTACCCCAGTTTAGGTATTAATTTCGTAAATGAAGAAGCAAATTTCTGCTTAGTAAAAACCCAAATCAGCAAAATACAACTATGAGTTTGTTCTACTGCATAGTTTAATTTGAATTTATGAAAATTTCCCAATGATAGCTGCATATCCAGTAACCCATTGAACTACCCCAAGCTCAACTTTAAAGCCATAGTTTTCCAAACAAAATACGTCTTCAAACTATATATAAATTCCTTTTTTTTTTAAGAACAGCAGCAGTCACTTTGATTTGAGATTAGTTTGAAATAGATCCATTGTTTAATAAAATCTATGTGAGGCATGGAAAACAAATAAATTTGCTATGCCCAGGAGTGATTGAATAAAAGATCGATGAAAACATTCTTCCGAATATCAAGACTTATAAAATTAACTAAGGAAAAAAAAAAAAAAAATTGCAGAATAAACTTACAAGTTTGAGGACTTTGATTCAAGGCACAATTGAGAAAGAAGAAAGCTTATGCGCAGGGGCGGAATACGTAGCGCTAGAGTCAGGTTTTGTTTATTTTTATTAAAGCTGCTATGTATATACGCATACATATATACGAAGTATCTTTCTAGGGATTTAGTATAGAGGAAATTTATTTGGGCTTTGACATAATTGATTCGGGCCTTTTATTATCTCTAAAAATAATTGTTTCTGCCCGAACTAAAGCAATAAAGGTCTCCCTTTAACGAAAATAATAAACTGAATTACTTTCGAACACATAACTATTTATATATTTAATTATTCGAGCTTACCGATCAACGTTATCTGCAACCAAAACAATGATCTCACAATAAAACACATTATTCATACAAGAACTTTATTTATCTGACTACATAAAATAAAAGATTAAAGTAACTAGATCGCTAAAATCGGGGTGTTACATAGCATAACATAAAACTCATGTTAATTAGTAATTAGTACATACGGAGTAATATTTAATAAACTAATAAATATTCATCTTACACTAAAAATAAAAAATAAGACATTAATACCTCAAATATTTAATAAAGTAATAAATATTCATCTTAAACTAAAAATAAAAAGTAAAACATTAATACCCTAGATATACATCATAAATTAAAGGTAAAATCAATGGAAAGGGTGTTAAAACAAAAAAGGAAAAAAATTAAAAAGAAAGATAAGAGTTACGTGAAAGCAAAAAAAAAAAAAAGAGTCAAACGGAAGATAGCAGATGCAGATATGCTTGCGCGTAGTGGGCTAAAGCTGGCAGGGAAAAAATAAAAAAGAGTGTATGCGGATGAACGGACGAACTGAACTACCTGCAAATCAGAAACAATTACAAAAATACCCGGATGTACGGTGAACACCGTACATCCGGGTGTACGATATAATTTGCACCAAATTAGGATCATGATAGGAAATTAATGGTAATTAATTTGCATCAAATAAGAGACACTCGGCAGTTAATGGTAATTAATTATTGTCAAGTTCGGAAAATACTGTCATGTTTGAAGCCTGGTATTGCCAAAACATGGCAGTGATTAGTCTTATTTTGGGAATAAAAACATGGCAGACCTATTTTGGAATTTTCAAACCGGCCTTTTTAGTCTTATTTCGGATAAATTCTCTGGTAAAAAATTCAACTCAATTGTACTCATTTGTAACCAATTCAACTTATGTGATTTAATATAACATACGTTATTACTTTCATATTTTCTTTTAATCCTAAAGCAAAAATGCTTTTTTAATATTGACAAATCTTTGTCCTTATATATACTCCCTCCCCCCATAAAATTCTTCTCACTTTCCTTTTTGGGCCGTCCCGGAAAATTCTTCCTAATTTCCCTTTTTGGACAATTTGAGTGGTTCACATTCATTTCACCTTTTTTTATACAACCATAACCACACATTTCCACTTTATTCCACTTTCTTAATCTCCGTGCTAAGTCAAACTGGGAAGAATTTTCTGCCAAGTTTCACCTTCCCTTTTCGGGCAGTTCCAAAATTAAGTTCCACTTTCAAACCTTTCCTTATTTGGCAAATTATCTACATCAAAACAGTTCAAACAGTGTTAAACAGAGTCTAAACAGTGCCAAACAGTGCACTTCACAGTAAAGTCAATTTTCTTTTCTTAATATGTTTGAAGTCAAATGTGTGAAACTTGTTTTTGAATCGGAGGAAGTATATAATAGCAGAATTAGTGTAATTGTTGTACGGGAAAATACCGCCTAAAAGGAGGACAAAAATGTAAATTGATTTATTCTTATATACTTCGTATATGCCGCCGTCACTATAGTCTTAAATTGTTACAGAGTATATACGTAGTATATGTAAAACACATTACTGCCCACCAATATGTTATTGCTACTATAGATGTAATCTTTCTACTTATTTCAAATTCTGAAGTAATAAATGTGTAATATTTCATAATTAAAGTCGACTCCACAGATATGTGTATTAATTTATTATACTACCAGCCCGTTTGGTAGCATGATAATCAGCTGATTTGGTTGATTCTGCTAAAATTTATGAAGATCTGCCTGCAGTGTCTGTATTGGCTGATTCTGCTGATTTAATAAAAAATTATTTTTAAAATATATTTTATTAATAAAAAAATTATATGTAAAAATAGCTAAAATGGTCATCTACAATAACTTCAGCCCAAACAGCTAGAAAAGTAACTTCAACCTTACTTTTTCTGCTTATTACACAGTTCAACGAGCGAAAGCAAACATTAAGTGTTTGGTGAAAAAGTTGGCTGATAAGTCTGATAAGTTGAAAAACAGTGGTTCCAAACAGCCTCTACCTATATGGATTCTTGCAAGTTATTTCGAGAAACGTGATTTCAGTAGTAGGATGATGTCTGTACGTGTGGCTAATACTTCTATATGAAGTGTAAAATGGAGTATTACTTTATTTATTTGTTTCTTGACTTCTTGGGAAATACTTCATATAATTTACTTTATTTACTTTAAAAAGTTTTTTTTGACAAGGACTTTAAAAAGTTAAATACTTAAAATTATTTGATTTGTACCACAAATGACGTAATGTTCCCTTTTAATATTTTTTAATATAAAAATACAAATACTCACTCTATCAATCGTTTTTTTAAATATTACTAACAAAAAAGTCATGGACAAAATTATTACGGAGTACTTAGTAATATAACTATTAGTGGTTATAGTTATGTTCAAATTAACATCGTAATAATTACATACAAGTTATTGTGATGTAACATTCGAACACATTTATAGTCACTAATAGTTACAATGTAAGGGCCTGTTTACTAACAGAGATATTTTCCGGTTTTTTACTTCTGTTTTTTGTTCTCCAATTTTCTGTTTTTATTTTTCAGTTTTTCTATCTCCAATTTTCCGTTTCTATTTTTTAGTTTTCCATTTTCAAATATGAAAAATGTTCATCAATTTTTTCACCCAGTTCTCCAATTCCACACCCTTGACCCCTACCCCTACCCTTACCACGATCTTACACTCTACCCATACTCCCCCACAACCCTTCATACCCACCCATACCTACTCGTAGGTGTCGGGGTAGTGGGTAGGGGTGGAGTAAGGGGTATGGTCGGGGTGGGGTGGTAAGGTCTAGGGGTTGGGGGTTGGGTGGGTTAGGGTCGTGGTTAGGGGTAATATATGGTGGGGTAGGGTTGGGGTTAGGGGTAATATATGGTGGGGTAGGGTTGGGGTAATGGGTAGGGTTGGGGTAAGGTAGGGGTAGGAGTTGGGATAGGATAGCGATAGGGTGGGGTCGGGACCAAGGTGGGACCGAGGTAGGGAAGGGGTAGGGTGGGGGGGGTAGGATGGCGGTGGGGGGTAGAATGGCGGTAAGGGTTGGGGTTGGGATAAGGTAGGGGTAGGGTAGGGAGTTGGGATAGGTTGGCGGTAGGGTGGGCCCGGGATCCAGGTGGGGCCGAGGTAAGGGAAGGGTAGGGTGGGGGGGTAGGATGGCGGTGGGGGGTAGGATGGCGGTGGGGTGGGGCCGAGGTAGGGGCATGTGGTAAGGGGTAAGGTAGGGATGGGGGTAGGGTAGGGTGGGTCAGGGTGGGGTCGAGGTGGTAGGGGGGTGGCGGTAGGGTAGGGTGGATCGGGGTGGGGCCGAGCTAGGGGCATGTGGTAGGGGGTGGGGTAGGGTCATTATAGGGAAAATGGGTACGCGGGGTGGGGGTTGGGTGGGTTAGGGTAGGGTAGGGGTAAGGGGTAAGGTATGAGGATGGAGGTACCGGAATGGAATCGACATTGGAGCGGGACCGGACCCACCACTAGGTGTAAATATGCAAATTCATTGCAGCGACACTGTAGCATCTGCGTTTTCCAAATTTGGAAAACTAGTAAAAGTCACTTCTCCAAATCATTAAGAAAAAGGGAGACATGTCTCATTTTTTCGTTTTGGAAAACGATTTGGTAAACACGTTTTTCTTTTTTCCTTTCTCCAGTTTTCCAGCAACTTCTTTGGTAATCACGTTTCCTGTTTTCTGTTTTCCAGTTTTCTAGAAAACTGGAAAATATCTTTGTTAGTAAACAGACACTTACTTTTTCCTTCACTTTGACAAGTACATTTTTTTCCCCACACCCATTTCAAGTGCTAATTTTTAGCCCATCTTCAAACCTTGAGGTCAAACTCCAAAACCGAAGGTCAACACTTTGTCGAAGCTTCAAATAGTCAACCTTGAGATTTAAAAAAAAAAAAAAAAAGTCATCAAAAAAAATAATCTCAAGGTTAAAACTAAATTTTCTCAAAGTCAAAGCTACATTTCAAGTGCCACAAACTTGCAGAAAACTTCAATCAACCACACGTCAACGATCATTATTCAACAATCAAACATGGATGCAGATCCCGCTGTAAGTACCTCTAACCCTTTTAATTCTGCTTGCTCTAAAGCAGACCCACACGATAAAATAAAGGAGCTAGAGGAGAAATTTGATAGAGCCTATGGTATCTATAACAAACTGCGTGAAAGACAGACATGCTCAAACATCAAAATAATCAATTCAGAGAAAATCATTACTAAGCTGACTGCTGAGAATAAACGACTTAGTGCTAGCGAGAAAGAGCTAACAGAGAAACTTAGAACTACTGAGAAAGAGAGAATTAGACTTTTTGGCGTTAACAATTTTCTTTATGAGAACTCGAAGACCTGTTAGCTAAGAGGGGCCAAACCGACCAGACCATTTTTCTTAACCAGCCTAAGGACACACGTTTCTATAACTCCAAGGAGGGCCTAGGATTGACCAATCCTAAGAACCTGAAAAAGGTCGTTTGTATCCAACTCTACGATGTTAGATACATGAAAATATGATTGACCAAACTTATGGCCTTCACTGGAGTTGAAGAAACGAATGCCCTCGAGGATGAAAAGAGAAAGACAAAGGCTGGTGCCGAGGTTCCTTTTGACTATACAGAGTTGAACAAGAGTTACAAAACCAAAGCACCCCCTCTGACCCCTGCTGAGGAAATCTTGACTTATCCTCCTGAAAAGGAAACTGTGAAAGACGGAGAAGATCCTTCCACATTTGAACCCATTGTGAAACCAGCTTACATTCCTCCTCTTGTGAGGAAGTTCGCTGAGTTAAAAGAATCTTTTGAAAAGGAGAAACAAGTTTTAGAAA